GGGGAGGGCGTGGCATAAGTTTCCTTGAGCTTAGGCGGAAGCTAGCAGGTTCATGCACGAGCAAGAAGTCAGCTGACTGAGCTCGATCCTTCGAAGGGAGGCAGCACTTCAGTACTTGCGAAGAAAGCAGGTAGAGTGAGCTCCAGCACGAAGGAAGATGGACTCCCATGAGAAGATCCACATCGAGAAGCTGAAGGGTGCAGAAAACTACCAGACTTGGAAGGTTCTGATTCAGCTGTTGCTGACTGAGAAGGGACTCAGGAAGACCATAGATCCTGAGAGCAGGTCAACCGAAGAAATGGCAGCAAGAACTCCAGCAGTGAAGGCGAAGGAGGAAGAAGATCAGTCCAAGGCTCTTGCAGCAATTGGTCTTCGAGTCTCTCCAGAGTTCCTTGGAATCATCACTGATTCAAATGGTTCTGCAAGGGCTGCCTGGCAGGAATTCTCAAGGATGTTCCAGTCTGTGACAAATGCGAGGAAGATGATGCTCAGAGAAAAGCTGGCCTCGCTGAGAATGGAACAAGGAGAATCTGCAGCCAAGTATGTAGCCAGGGCAAAGGATCTGAAGAGAGATCTGTTGCAAGCAGGACTTGATGCAGGGGATGTAGATCTAGCAGCTGCATGTGGCTTGAGTAAATCCTATAGAGAGATTAGGATGGCGCTAGAACTGCAGGAAAGAGCCATCTCTCTGGATGATATGCTCCCTCTTCTCCTCCAGCATGAAGCTAGACTCGAGCGTGATGAAGAATCAGAGCAAGGAGAGTCTTCAAGCTCAATGGCCTTTGCAAGTAGATACCCCAAGCAGCAGTCAAGCAAGTTTCAAAAGCGCTCAGGACCTAAGTGTTGGACCTGTGGGGAAGAAGGTCACAAGTCCTCAGACTGCTCTCAGAATCGAGACAAGGACAAAGAATGCAGAAACTGTGGTCTGAAAGGTCACATTGCAAGGAATTGCAGAAAGCAGGATTCAGGCGAAGGGAGAAACGGAGGGAACAGAAACAAGGGGATGAAGAAGTCAATGGTTTTTGCCTGTCCTCCTGGATCAAGCCTCGAAGACTTCTGGATTCTGGATTCTGGTGCTAGTGCACACCTCTGCTGTCAAAAGGAGATGTTCTCAGAGATGAGAGAACTGAGAGAGGGCGAAGCAGAGGAGATCCACGGGGTTGGTGATTCTGTCAGAGTGGAAGGCATTGGGAAGGTGCCTCTGATCTGCAAGACCGAAGAAGGGGAGATGACCGAAGTGATTCTCGAAGAAGTCAAGTTCGCTCCTCAAGCTCAGGTCAACTTGGCAGCTCTCAGCAAGTTCCTCAACAAAGGAGCCACTCTGCACAGTGAGAAGAGCGAAGTCTGCCTGAGAATGGAGGGAGAGAAGTTCCTCGAGGCGAGCAGTCACGAAGGGGTGTCGGTCATCAGAACGGTTTCGCGGAAACCTCTGGCCTTTGCGGTTAACCAAGGAGACAAAGGCAGACTCTGGCATAGGAGGTTTGGACATGCGAGCTGCGAAACCCTGGCCAAAATGGCGCAAGATTCTCTCGTCGAAGGCCTCCCCTCTGCAGCAGTCCTGAGGAAAGCCGGAGAAACCCTCTGTGAAGATTGTGTCTTCGCCAAGCAAACCCGGAAACCCTTTCACCCCAGCAACCGGCAGAGCGAAAACCCCCTCGACCTAGTTCATACGGATCTCTGTGGCCCTATGCATACGAAGTCAGCCGGGGGCGCTCGGTACGTTGTCACGTTCATCGACGACTACAGCCGGTGCGGGACCGTGCAGCTACTGAAGACCAAGGACCAGGCAAAGCAGGCCCTGGAAGCCTACGTGAGCTGCGTGGAAACTCAACTGGGGCGGAAAGTGAAGAAGATACAGAGCGATCGGGGTGGCGAGTACTGGAACTCGGAAGTGACGGAGTTTTGCGCGCGCAAGGGGATCATCCACCAGAAAACCAATCCCTACTCAAGCCCGGAAAACGGGGTAGCGGAACGGTTGAATAGAACTCTGCTGGACAAGGTGCGCGCCATGCTTTCTGAGAGCGGACTCGATCTGAAGTGGTGGGGTGAAGCGGTCTTGACGGCGAGCTACGTGCGGAACCGAACGGCGACGAAGACGCACGGGAAGACCCCCCTAGAGCTGTTCTTCGGACAGAAGCCAAGCGTGAAGGAGCTTCGCGTCTTCGGCTGCAAGGCCTTCGTCCACACCCCTATTCAGAAGCGGAAGAAGCTCGACCCTGTCGCCAAAACCGGCGTCTTCCTCGGGTACGAACCCGGAACCAAGGGGTATCGGATTCTGCTGACGTCAGATGAGAAGACGGTGACCATCTCGCGTGACGTCACGTTCGACGAAACAGAACGGAAGGACCCCGAGGGAGCGGAGATCTGGGAAGAGCCTCTGCAGTCAGTCTCGCCCGAGAAAGTCGAGCCTGAGGGAGAGATGAGAGCAGAGGCACCGGAAACGGAGAATCCCCCAGAAGCGGAGCCGGAGAGCGGAACGGAGAAGGAGAACGGAACGGGCGGATCGAGCGGAACGGAGAAGAACGGAGAGGAAGGAGCGGAACCGGAAGTCACGGGGAAACGGGTGAGAAAGCCAAGTCAGCGGTATTCCTCGAAGGAGTGGGTTACGGCAAATCTCGCAAAGGAGACCGCAGAGCCGGTGGAGCCGAAAACCCTCGAGGAAGCACTGAGCAGCCCGGAAGCGGAATTGTGGCGGGAGGCACTGGAGGAAGAGTTCGCCAGCCTGCAGGAAAACCAGACCTGGGAACTCTGCGACCCTCCCCCCGGCGTGAAACCGATCCCGTGTAAGTGGGCGTTCAAGCTGAAGAAAGACGAGAACGGAAACGTTGACCGGTTCAAGGCGCGGCTGGTCATCAAGGGGTTTAAGCAAAAGAAAGGGGTCGACTACGACGAAGTCTTCGCGCCCGTCAGCCGACACGTCACCCTGAGAAGTCTGCTTGCGGTCGCGGCGGCGGAAAACCTGGAGGTGGACCAGCTCGACATCAAAACCGCCTTCCTGAACGGGGATCTCGAAGAAGAGATTTGGATGGAGCAGCCGGAGTTGTTCGAAACTGGAGAGAAGCAAACGGCGTGCCTGCTCAAGAAGTCCCTCTACGGTCTGAAACAAGCCCCCAGAGCCTGGTACCTAAAGTTGACGTCAGAGATGCGGAAACTCGGGTTCGAACCCTCGGCAGCGGATCCGGCTCTGTTCACGAAAGCGGACGGAAACGGAAAGAGAACGTTCGTTGCGGTGTGGGTGGACGATTCGCTGGTGGTCGGGGAAAAGCTGGCGGTGGCGGAAGTGAAGGAGGCGCTCGGGAAGATCTTCACCGTGCGAGACCTAGGACCGGTGAGATACTTCCTGGGGATGGAAGTTGCGCGCGATCGGGTTAAGAGGACGGTCAAGCTAACCCAACGGAGAGCGGCGCTAGATCTGCTGAGCGAGCACGGCATGGAGGCGACGCGGGCGCGGCGCGTGCCGCTGAACCCGGGGGAGAAGATCCTGAAGCAGGGAGAGCCGCTCAACGTTGAGAAGTTTCCGTACTCAAGCCTGGTCGGAAGCCTCCTGTACCTGGCCAACTGTACGAGACCGGACCTCGCCCAAGTGACCGGTTCCCTAGCCCGGTTCATGAGCTGCCCAACGGAAGATCACTGGCGTCTGGCGAGAAACGTGCTGAGCTACTTAGCCGGAACCAGTAACGAGGGGCTAACCTACGGGGCGGAATCACTTGAGTTTGTGGGTTTCTGTGATGCAAACCACGGCGGAGATCCGGAAACGCGGCGCAGCACCACCGGGTACGTGTTTCTGCTCGGGGGCGCGGCAGTCAGTTGGGCTAGCAAACTGCAACCCACGGTGGCGTACAGCACAGTCGAAGCAGAATACATGGCGGCGGCGTATGCGGCAAAAGAGGGGCTGTGGATTCGGAAGCTGGCGGCAGACCTAGGGGTCGAGTGCAAACGGATGACGATTCTGAGCGACAACCAAGGCGCGCTGCAGCTGATCAAACATCCGATCACGTCCCAAAGGAGCAAGCACATTGACATAAGCCACCATTTCGTGCGCGAGCGAGTGATCCGGGGAGAGCTGCACTACGACTACTGCTGCACGTCCAAGATGCCCGCGGACTTCCTCACCAAGGCGCTGACATCATCCAAGTTCGAGTTGTGCAAAGAGATGATAGGCATGCAGTGAACTTGAGAGTTGGAATAGTTGAGAGGTAGCAGACAGCAGCCTGAGGGAGAG